TCCCCTATGTTTTTTTGTAACTTAAAGACAGTAATATTCTATGATGGTTTTTTTTTTCCTTGATTTGTTTTCCGTCGATCTTGTTTTCCGTGCTAAACATCAATGCTGCTGAAGCCAGGGAGGCAGCTCCTACACCTGGAACCCTACCTATCGACCCATCAGAACTCATGAACCGAGAACCAAAGGCGTGATCAGAGATGTTATGCCTCAGAACATCCCGGTTGCGCCGACTTGGATTGAACCCAGACCTTCTGGGGTGAGAGATAATCACGCTTATCACTACACCACTGGCGCTGCTTACCATGAATGTTTATTCACGTTCCTATTTACACGATTCGTATACCGGACATTTTGATTGTGGTAGTGGCATTAGTTGTATCTCACAGTAGTGTTACTCACACAATTTAAAAATAAGATGTAGTTGTTATATTGCATGTACGATACGGTACTGTCACACATACAAGCTTAACGGTTTATCCGCATTTGTTTGCATTGGCATCAACATATTCAGCTCAACATGTGAAACGGATTAATGAGTCAAATTTAAACAAAAACTTTAAACATTATTTTTGATAGTTCAGTAAAACCAGCAGTAGCATATGATACATACTACGAAAAAGTCGTGTAAATTTCGGTTCCATGAGATCGACACATGTAAGCAGCCTTTTTAACATAAGAATCAGTTGAAAGAAACGAAAAAATCAATTCAATCAAACGTTCTCTTCGTCAAGTTGCTTATATTTCGGTTTGAGAACACTTAATTTTACAGGAAATTTTTGTTAGGTTTCCATGATTTACGTCCAATATGGATTACGTCTCGTGTAAAAGTAGTTAGTTCTAAGTGTGTAGAGTCAATTTCCTCTTCCAGTTTTGCTTGAAAGAGTTTAAATCTGAGAGAAATTGTCGTTGAAAGTCATTACTTACATTTCCGGAGTGATTCGAGCTCAATCACGCATATCCATATCCATAATCCAATTTATGGAGCAATGATTCCTTTATCATCTGGTTTAGTAGATTTGCAAGATTAAATTCTAATTCGGGAGTAAAAGACGATTTAAATGTTTGTTTGCAAATCAATTACACCCAAAACTCGAATCTTTCTGAATATAACTCATTGGCACTTTTCATATGTTGCGCTATTTATGTCAACAGATTCACAGTCATGAACGGTTTTAGTGACTTGTTTTGTCTTGTATTCAGCAGTTTGTTTAACGATTTTTAAGTGCTTTGAAAAGTTTAATCGGAATTTAGATTCGCAAAATGAGTAGTGGTATGACAATAAATACAGGTACATGGAGCATTAACAAAATTTATCTTTTTTGTTTTGTTATTTTTTAGTATTCTACAAAGATATAGCAGACATGCTGATTGCCGGTAGAAGCACTGAAAAAAAAATTTAAAGTATGTTATTCAAAAATCTTTTGCGAGCAACATTAACGGAAGTGCTGTGCTGAATCAAATTCGATGGATTAGAGCAGAATTCCGCCGAAAGTGGTTAAAGAGTCGGTATAGCCGTGAATATTTTTTTTTTCATCTAATAAATCTTGGCTGAACAAAAAGATCCAATTCAAAAAAGTTCAACAGGACGATGTCACACCAAAACTACGAAAAAGCGATTGTCCTTCTAAACCGTTTTCAGCGGTTGGGAGGAAATCAAAACAGAGTAAAGTACGTACGCTGACAAACCAATTCTCTCCTGAAGAATTGCGGTTTGCTGCAGCTAAAAGTACTGCTTCGGAGGGCTTTCGTTCGGCTGGAAAGCTGATTGAGAGTGTTAATCATGATTCTTCAATTGCTATGCAAGTTCGAAGCGACTCTTATAGTTCAGAGCCGGCTATTCTGATGTATACGGCAAATGAAGCACTTGCGTTTATTTGTCAAAATGATTTTTTGAAAGCCCAATATATGAATATCCGATTCATGGCACTGCAAAAAGGAATAAATAAGTATCCATCATATCATCTGATTCTTGACGCCAAGAAACTGTGTTATCCAAAAGGTATATTGTATAGTTAGCAATTTTGGGAGTTCATTCACAGAAATTGACTGCTTTCAGACATTTCAGTACAACCTTCAATAGCCCAAGTTCCTTTGCAGAGCTTAACCGAACACACGGTGACACGACTTGTATCGAGTGTTTATTCCAGCACAAAATGCGAATTTACTTCTGATGATGACTACCATGTAATCTTTAAGTGGGACGCTGACGGAAGTTCAAATCACTCTCGGTACAAACAACCCTATTTTGATGAAGACGATGAAGGAGAAATAAAAGAATATAGTGACTCTCATATCTATGCCATGTCAAACCACGGAAATATTGTGAAACAACGATCTGCCATCCTCAGCTTCTCTTTGCCGACCAATCAAAATGTTGTTTCAGAAGGAAACAAAGGATTTAACACAACACGAAGTTGAGGACGTTAAAGTTCAAATCAAAAATTTTAAACCTACCGTTTGTAAGACAGAAGATTATTGTGTCACAGTGCAAACAACATTCGTGTTTTGCATGATGGATACAAAAGTCGTCAAAAACGTCACGAGTACTCATTCGCAATCGTGTTATATATGCGGCAAATCAGGTACTAAAGTAAACGTGATCTCTGTCTAAGGTTTTAAATATACGCGTGTTTTTTACAGGAAAGAAGCTGAACGATCCAGTAAGTCAAAAGGATGCAAACGATCCTATGCTCTATTCATTTGGGATGTTCCCTTTCCACGCATATATCCGGTGTATGGAATTGATGCTTAAAATTTCAAACAGGTTGGCCATGGAAAAACCAACATGGAGAGTTAGCAAGTTGAACGAGAAAGTGAAAGAACGAGAGCTCAGTATGAAAATTGCATTCGGGGAACAGTTGGGTTTGCGCATAAGTGAACCAATGCCGTCTGGAGGAAACTCTAATGACGGCAACACTGCCCGAAAAAAATTGAAGGAATGGAAAATCGTTTCAGAAATCGCTGGCCTTTATGAAAGGTTACTGGAGCGATTTTTGTGCTTCTAACCATAATTAACAGTAGATCTGACATAAAAATTGAGGCATTTCAAAGCTATGCCGAAGAAACACGGGCTCTTTATGTCGAACTATATGGGTGGTACCCACTTTCGCCAACCGCCCATAAATTGCTGGTACACGGATCGACTATAATCAGACATGCAATTTTACCGATAGGCATGCTAAGCGAAGAGGCGCAAGAGACACGGAACAAGAGTGTCCGTAAGTTCCGAGAACATTATGCCCGAAAATTTAACAGAGTATCTAACATCGAGGACGTTTTTAAAAGACTGTTGATCACCTCTGACCCGGTGGTATCCTTGACTAACAAAAAAAAACAAGAAATAGTTCATTGGTTTTGCCAGAAAATGCTCAACATCTGGTACTTAGTAAAGTTTTATTACACTTGTTTCTTTATTTTTGTGAAATAAGCCTCGAAAATATAATATTTGTTTCGTAAATATATATGCTTCGTTCCATTTAAAGTTTTCAGAGTCAATTCGTACAATGACAGTTTACTAAAAAGATGTTCCCCATGATAATTAATAATTGATATAGGTTGTCTCACACAAAATAAAACATATAATTAGATCTATCTTTTTTATTTTTCATTCTACAAAAAAGTTGTGCAAAGAAGACTTTAAGATCTAGTCAAAACCTACAGTATTTTGTAATGTTTAGAAATTTTTGAGTTACAGGTAATTTTCAAGTTTTTTTAGGGAATTTTTAAAATTGATTTATTCAAATTTAAAGAAAGTTGTCCTCGCAGTTTTTTCCTCATATATTTTTTTAAGTATGGGTTTTCAGATGATACCTCAAGAAATATTTTAGCGATCCAACTCCATGTGATATAAGCATTTTAACACCACTTGGTTTTTTGGGCAAAATAGTCTATAATTTTTTAACGTTAAGACTTATTAACATGCTTTGTTAAGCAAAAATGTGCGCCAATATTTGTTCTACAAGTTTTTGAAGACCATTTTCTAAAAGAAAATGATTCAAAAAAGATAGAATAAAAAACTGGTTTTTTATGGACACCCTTACTAAATACTTAATAAATGCTCTAAAAAGTCAATTAAAGAGATAGATAAACGGTGTATTTTGCAAAGTTGCCTAAAATAATATTTTCTTCAACTTTGCTTAGGAATGTAACTACCTATAACATGAAACAAAAAAGTTAAAATTTGAATTTGGATTTAAACGAGGACCACTCTAACCGGCTTTTTGCTCAAAAGAAGCATGATATGATAGCAAACAACTTCTATCACAACACTTAGCATCTAAAATGAACAAGAAAACAATTTTTTCCTGCTAAATTGTCGATTCGGACCATAGTGCAGTGTTAGCGTTTAATTTGGTAAAATGGATGTGTGTAATGTATGCGAGCAGTCTATTGCTATGAGTGGGCTCCCAGTTACATGTGTAGGTCCGTGCAATGGAACGTTCCATTTTGCTTGTGCGGCACTCACTAAGACTGCGGCGAGGCTTATAGCAGATAATGCAAGTGTTCTGTTCAAGTGTGATAGTTGTCTATCTGATCAGAGTTGTGACGAGCAGAATGATCTGATCTCGCGGGTCAAAAGGATAGAGGAAGAGATGAAGAAGGTTTTTCAACTCTTGGACTCGATCACTGGCATGCGAGATCACATTGCTGCTCAGGTGGACATCGCGGTTAAAAGCGGGAAGAATAAATGTAAATGGTCTTGAAAATTTAATTTGTGAGAAATTTGATAATATGAAAAGTTCATTTTTTTAAATTGATGCGGGAAACCAATTAGCTGTAATGAATGATCAGCGCAGTTCATCTAGGACGCAAAAAACGTAAAATACAAAATAGTGATAATAATGATGATGTTGTTTTTCAAGAAAATGCGAGTTTTGCGGATGTTGTAAAAGTCGTGCTAGTCAAAGTAAAACTAAAAGTAACAGTAACAGTAGATTGTTGCAAATCTTACACCAGAAATTTTCAATACAAACTTGATCCCATAACATTTTACAAGAGAAATGGACCAATCGCTATCAACTGAATGGTACAGCAAACCGATAGCCTCAGGGAGATTACTCAACTACTACTCTCTACATCCGATGCAGCAAAAGGTCAACGTAATCATGAACTTTACGAAACGTGTTAAGAAACTAACATCGAGCCCGGATAACCAACGAGTTAAGCAGATTGCGCACTTCCATCTTCGACGAAACGACTATCCCACAACACTGATCAATCGCATCGTCAACCGTGTTATCCTTACCAATGACACGAACAACATTGGAAACAACAGTGAACCACGAAATACTCAGGAGCAACCAACACAATATGTATCTCTCCCATACGTTCCGAATCTGAGCAATTCCATCATCAGATGTCTGCAAGAGGACTATCCGTCGATCAAAATTGCCAACAGCAATATACACACTCCCAAGATGCTATATACAAACGTGAAGGATCCAGTCGAGCCGTTGCTGCAACATAACGTCATATACAACATTCCCTGTCGAAACTGTGAGGGATGCTATATAGGTATGACTACGAACAAGCTAAAAACCCGAATAAGTGGCCACAAGTCCAATGTAAACAAACTTGAAGGCCTACTAAATTCGGGTCACACATACAATGATCAAGCAATGATCGAGATAGGCAACAAAACAGCACCAATCGATCACTGTATAAAATACAAACACCGATTTGTACTGGACCAAGCCAAAATTATGGACAGATCCTTCATTGCGTCAAGATTACCAATGTTAGAATGCTTCCACATATACAATACACCACGTACCGTAAACTATAGGACAGATGTTGAAGGTATAAGTTCTATATATTCAGGAGTTCTGCATACAATAATGAAGTCGAGCCACAAAACCAAAACGAATGTCCCACATCCACCACCACCGCCACCGCCTCCACCACCTCCAATTCCACCAGCTCCACTACCACATCCCTTTACCGCAGCCCCACCAGAATCAACCCTATCTCCAGTTTCACAACATCACAACAACCAATGAAGCCCATCACCAACAACGATTATCCCATTTTTACAAACCAATACCCAAGCAACAATAGTGAATAAGAAATAGTATCTCTCTCTCTCGATTTTGCTCTCCTGTATTATACTATGTATCAATGTATGTCAGAGTCCATTTTGGTGTCATAGTAGGTGGTAATATAAAAAAAAAGGTAGCAAGAAAACAACACAGAATATCCACCAACGCATCTATCTCTCCAATGCGGTAAAAGCTGTAGGTATTTTAAGCTTTCAAAAAACTAACTCTAACGTTTGCAGATATCTTGGAAGAGAACCGAGAAAAAAAGCTATGACAACCGATCGTGAAGCTTCAGACGCTGAACGAAAAACGGTACAACTTTATGTGAGTCTTTGTGTAAAAAATAATGTTAGAGTTACAATGCTAAATGTTCAATGTATTAATTGTAAATAAAACTTGTAGATCCCCTGAAGAAGGCCAAGTCCCAAGGCCGAAACGTCGGACATAAAACATAGTAGCGTTTTGATTATCCGTTAGACTGAAAAGCCGTAATCCTTACAATAATTTTACACCAGAATATTTAAATTGATCAGAACGATGCAAATTTTCCACCGTTAATGTTCAATAAAAATTGCTTCTCCAATCTCTTGACGAGGCTCGGTAGCTCAGTGGTTACCGTTTCTGCTTACTGAGCAGAAGGTCGGGAGTTCAATCCCAGGCCCGTCCCCTTCCTTGCAATTTTTCACTTTGCCTTATTCTATACCCACTAGATTTTAATGAAAACAAATTCTTCGTTAACACCGAGCGCATCACTTACCACAGTGTGGGTCCTGATCTAAAAATAGAAATTGGATGAGTGCGCGCGCGTGTGTGTGTGTGTGTGTGTGTGTGTGTGTGTGTGTGTGTGTGTGTGTGTGTGTGTGTGTGTGTGTGTGTGTGTGTGTGTGTGTGTGTGTGTGTGTGTGTGTGTGTGTGTGTGTGTGTGTGTGTGTGTGTGTGTGTGTGTGTGTGTGTGTGTGTGTGTGTGTGTGTGTGTGTGTGTGTGTGTGTGTGTGTGTGTGTGTGTGTGTGTGTGTGTGTGTGTGTGTGTGTGTGTGTGTGTGTGTGTGTGTGTGTGTGTGTGTGTGTGTGTGTGTGTGTGTGTGTGTGTGTGTGTGTGTGTGTGTGTGTGTGTGTGCGTGTGTGTGTGTGTGTGTGTATTATAATCACTCTACCAAAAACGATCCCTGCGTGTGCGTGCAACCTTTCCCCACATCCAACATCCCAGTGATTTCTCGTGGAAGCGCAGAGGATTTCTCGGTTTCTTTCACAGCGAGTAACCACGTCAACACATTCCTTCCCATTCCCTAGTTGACCTGCATTCGGGGTTCTCTGTGTAAATACAGCTGATCTGGTAATAACAGAGCAGCAACCGTGGGCGGTCAATGTGATTTTTGATTTTGATTTTGATTTTGAATAAAAATTGCTTCTCCAATCTCATGATTGGTGCAGATTTCCTTGCTCCATTTTTCACCAGACATTTTCAGTATAGCTTGCTTCTCCTACAATCAGAATGTTGCAGGTTTTCCGCCAAATAATGCTTGCCCCTATTTTAAGATTTCTCATCATCATTTTTCAGTAAAGCAGCTTCCCTCCAATCATCACAATGGTGCAAATTTATCACCAGAAATTATTATTAAAGTTTGTTTCTCTATTCAGCAGAAGGATGCAAAATTAAGACCAAAAATATTCCAAATGCTTGCCCATCCATTCACCAGAACGGTGCAGATTTTCCACCAGGAATTTTCAATATAGCTTAATTTAACTAAAGTTTGTGCCTTCATTTACCAGACCAGTGGAAGTTTTCCACCAGAAATTTTTCGTTCATTTAATTTATCAGAGCGATGCAAATTTTTCAACAGAAATTTTCAATAAAGCATGCTCCTCCAGTCACCAGAACGGTACACGAAAAATTTTCAGGGAAGTTTGTTTCATCATGCACCTTCGTAGTGCAATTTTTAGGCTTTGCCTCTTCATGCACCAGAATGCTGCAAATTTTATACCATTTTCAATGAAGCTTGCATTCATCAGAACGATGCAAACTATTAACCAGAAAAATGAATAAACCTTGCTTCTACATTCACCTCAGTGTAGCGAACATTCCACCAGAAATTTTCAGTTATGGACCTCCAAATTTTCAACGTGATTCATTTTTTTTTTCCAATTTTTATTTTGATTAGGCTCTCCATGCACCACCTTGATGTTATTTTTACACCAGAAATATTCAATAAGAAGCATTTTCTTCTATTTACCACCACGAAGGTGAATTTTTTCAACCTTAAATTTACCCTTTTCTTTTAACTCTCCATGAAACACCTTGTGGTGCAATTTTTTGACCAAAAATTTCATAGAAGTTTGTCCTTTCATGCACCTTTGTGGTGCAATTTTCAGGCACCATTTCAAAGGAATTGCCGCAATAAATGGCTTTTAGTGCCCTTATTTTATGAAATGAAGTTATTTTACCTTCAAATCAAGTTATCAAGAAATCAAGTTATTTGATATCATAATTTTGTAAATGTGGAAATAAGAATCTTATTTATAAGGGGGAGGGCAATTGCCCCCTTCTTGCCCCTTCCTGTGCACGCCAGTGAGATTCTACTGCACAATTCCTTTCCGAGTAGACAGATGATATCCATCAATAGAGCACTGCGGGAAACCTAACCTAAAGCAATTTCCACACCCACGATTTTTGACAGTTCTGCCGTGTTTATGTTGACACCCGTTCGTTGCTATTTCTTTTACTCTCATTGGCTGGCAAATGACTGGGATAATGCGTACTACCGGTACTTTGCACATTTGAAGGTTATAAAATAGACCCGTCACACAAGTGAAAGTGGTCCTTAGCCTCTTGCCCAGTAACTCCTATCCCTTCCTCCCTGCTAGGGTATGAGTAACCTTAGGGAAGATCGGGTAACCAACCCCGGTGGGAACTTTGGTCGTATGCTCACAGGGAAGGGGGAGCTGCATCCTTTACGGAGGATGTGGCTTACAAAACCCGAGCGAGAATGTTAGGGGCGGCTCAACCAGCGTCTGACTGGCATCCACCGACTGAATACGAAATGCTTCTCCCCGAAAGCTATACCCTAGATGACAGTCCCATCACGGCCGATAGGAGAACTTAGGCCAACCACCTTCTGTCTCCGAAACCTTCAAATTGTTACAGAAACCTATAGTGAAAGATTACGAACTGATTTTATGGCAACGACTTTAGCGCTAACAACGGACAAGAATTGGAACATGTACTGACGCTCGCCCAACCGGGTAAACTGGCACAACTCGCCAGTGAGGCCCGCTGTATGAAGCTAGAAATCCTGAGACTTAGTGAAGTCCGCTGGCCGAACTTTGGAGAACACAAGCTGCCTTCGGGACAGGTACTTTTATATTCTGGTATGCGAGGTGAAACGCTCCGCGACATCGTGGAGTTGGCTTTCTGCTTAGCGCCCAAGCACAGGCTGCGCTCATCAAGTGGGAACCTATCCTATCCAATCCAAGAGAATAATCGTTGCCAGATTTAGAACACGGGTCCGAAACCTTACCATAATGCGCCAACCGATGCTGCCGAACTGCAGGACAAAGAGAACTTTTACAGTCAACTGAATTCTGTCGTGGATAAGACTCCAAAAGGTGATATCAAGATCTACACAGGCGACTTCAATGTGAAGATCGGCTTCGACAACTCGAACTATGAGCGCATTATGGGACGCCATGGTCTCGAAGATATGAGCGAGAACGGCGAGCTGCTTGCAGAGTTTTGTGGCAACAACGACATGGTGATCGGCGGTTCACTCTTCCCCCATCGCCCATTGCATAAAGTCACATGGGTCTCCCGTGATGGATATACAGAGAAACAAATCGACCACATCTGCATCAGCCGAAAATGGAGACGGAGCCTTCTTGATATTCGGAATAAACGTAGCGCTGACATCGCGTCTGACCATCATCTCCTGGTCGGTGAGATCCGCCTACGCATTGCGCAGGTTCAACGGCGCGAGGAGAGACTCGGGTCGCGATTCAACACACGCCGACTGGAAGACCCAGCAGTGAAGAGATCGTTCGTCGAAGAACTCGAGGCTCGCGCAGCTAATATTCCGGCAGGTGGCAGCGAAGAAGAATAGTGGACGAGCATCAAGAATGCCTTTATTGAAACAAGCGAGAACAACCTGGGTGAGCTGCGCACTCAGAGGAAGGAGTGGATCACCGATGAAACCTGGAGGAAGATCGAGGAGCGGAGAGAAGCAAAAGCCGTGATAGAGCGAGCAAGGACCCGAGGAGCCAAGAACGAGGACCGTCAGCGGTATTCGGCTCTAGAAAGGGAAGTTGAGCGTTCCTGTATACGGGACAAGCGAGCGTGGGGTGACTCCCTGGCTGATGAAGGGGAGAAAGCCGCAGCAGCTGGCGATATCCGCCTCCTCTATGATGTTTCACGACGCCTGAGCGGGACAAGGATGAACCCAAGGATGCCTGTGAAAGACGCGACTGGACAGTTGCTCACCGACC